TCTTTAAAGTCAGTAGTGACTGAAGATACTCATTTGACTGACCGTAAGGTTCGGACACGTGAGACACCTTTGCCATAGCTCATGAACATTTCAACTTTCTGATCTGTCCTTTTAAATATAATATTCGTTTGAATAAACTTGATTTCAGAAGGTATTGTTGTGATATGATAACCCACCAACAGGGTCAGAATGAGTCACTGATACTTTGTAGCTGTGATTTAGTGGATTGGTTCTGCTAACCCAACGACAGAATGAACCCTAAAATTCCAAAATCGATACAAACCAGTCTTTGGGGTATGACACTATTATTACAGAAATATTTGCAAACATAATTTTTCCAGATATCTACGGAGTTGAACTATCCAGCACATGTAAAGGAAAATTACTGCGACAGCCTAAGTGACAACTAGAATGCATCTGCTGTTCCTCCTTTATGCTGCCGGATTTTATTGGCTCTTACTAAAGTGAGACTTTCAAATCAAGGTCTGAACTCTGTAAAGATCGCGTCAGCAAAGTTTCCGTTACAGCGCTTACATCCGGCTTGGTACACTTAGTCCTGATCTCTCGTTGAGTAACTTCCTGCATTTGGATAACAGGTCTAAAGGCCATTTAAATGGTTTCACACTTCACTTAAAGTGGCCTTGACATCATTTTCCGTCGAAGCTTCACCATCCAGAAGTTAAGAACCCAAAGGTCTTTCACGCCAACATCTGACCTTCGTTCCAGTTGCTTTCCAGCTTATTTTTTTAAATACGGTCCGTGCGTGACAAGACTTTATGAGCGAAAACTCCATTACGTAGTACTAGGCCCGTTTCACTTTGAGATTTGAATACTGCTTGTGGCAGCCTGGTTTGATTTAGTTTCAGGTTTATTTGACTATCTGGTCTGTAAGCCTTCAGCAGGGTGACCTCACAGATACTTGGAGGGATTAACTGGATAGGTAGATTTTTCGTCAAACCGATGTCATTCTCAAAACAAGTTCTGGGTTCTAAGCCTATCGTTGTGAACAGCCTTTAATTACTCAGCAATTTATCGTACGACTGGCTCTTCCTTAACATAATAATATCGTTTCTTGTTCTCTGTTTGTACCAACTAATTAACTTTCATTGAAGCAGCAATCACGGTTGCGTCACACACATTCTAAGATCGTAGATAATTGTTGATGACCAATCAGGTCAGACTGTCGATTTTTCTCCTAGGCTTAAACCTGGCAAAACGATTAGGCTTTGTAGGCATTTCCAGTCAGTTAACATTTGAAGAGTTTCAGATGGAGGGAATATTAGTTCTTGAGAATTCATTTTCGACAACCTCTTCGAAATCGGTCCTTCTATCTTTGACACATGTAAGTATGGTAAGCAGAAGTACTAGAAATAATGTGCTGACCAAGAATTCCCAAAATAGTACAGTTTAAGGCAAGTAGAACGAAATAAACACAAATGAACTTACTATATTTGGAACTCGTAATAAACGGGCAATCAAGTACAAAGAAATTGTTATTTTGTACAATAACTACAGTACGTTAAGCGATTCTGAGCTTATTCAGGATAACATATCGTTTATTTGTTTTTCTAACAGAGCTAGTTTTATTTAATGCATCTCGACAAGACTTGCTTATATACCCTTTTGCAATGCTCACCACTGTAGTGACTTCGGGAAGTGGGCTGCCTGTCTTCGAGGTGCACTGCTGATATAGCCACATGCAGTTATTTTTGCCAAACCATTTAAAAGCCGCAAGCGTTAGATTCACGTGAACATCTCGGCACCATCCTTTGAGCTAATCACACTGCAATGAGAAACCGTAAAAATTACATATAAAAGTGTGACGAATTAAAAAATCAAAAGTTCTAAAAATGTACAGGTGCTAAATTGAAATAAACGATACTCTTTACGATTACTTTAACCACAGAGTGAAGGCGGCAGTTTCGATGCTTAACAGACGATCATAAGCATAAAATTAACTTGGCAAGGAAAAATACCATTGTCCTTTTTGAGTAGCGCGCATCAAATTTATTTCCGATCATCACGATAAACGCTCCCAACAAGCCGAGATTGTGCTTCTCAATGACATGGAATACAGGCAATCACTTATCACGGCACTAATAGACGAACAGTACTGCAACCTGACGGCCGTTGAAGAAAGCTGATTAAAACTCAGGCAAAACAGCTACAAAATCTGCATGAAATTAATGCTTTGATTAATTTCGAAATTTCTAAGTAATGTAATCATACAATAACTTCAAGCAAGCATAAAAAACGATGGACATAATGTACAATGTTAAACACATGTGAAAAGATATCACAACATTGACAGCTATTGTTATTTTTCATCAAGGACATGTCGATTACCCAAACTCTGAAACTTTTCTATAAACGAAGTCTCCAAATATTTGAAGGGACATATTTAGCTCCTCAGATGTCCGGGCTCCTTATGAATACTTGCGTAGGATGGACTATTCGATCAATATAATATTCTATCCCTGACTAACACTTAATGTAGAGTTCTGACAACGAACAATAATGCTGTATGCACTGCACAGTTCTTGGATAATTTCAGTATCAGGTTCATTGCTCCAGAAAATTACTAGGGTGTCACACTGTCTAACAATTTGTTGGCCGCTCACCGTTAGAATGCTCCAGTTAATGAAGCTAACTTAAGACCTCACTTGTAGAAAATACTCACATTAGTTACCATTACATTTAGAAGGATATTCTTCTACTAGATCGTTTTCGAAGAACAACCAAATGAGTATTTGTAATCAATAGACGCCTTACTCGCCTAATATGATCATGATATACGACAGTTAATAACTTTATCAACCCTAATAGAGAGCTGATATGTCTCTTTATTAAATTACGTTGACATGGACGTCTGACGATAGATTATTCGACACCCCTACTATTGAGTGCCCGTTTAAGACAATCTCACTGTTGACTGTGTATAGTTAATTGGAAATCAAACTTCTAATGGCATTAATAGGGCTGATTAGATTGACCTCAGAGATCATGATTCTTTTCACTGTGATGAACCACCCAGTTTTTTACTACTTGCCTGAATTTCGGGGACAGTATCCATCAGTATTTTATGCCTATTATAACCAGGTTTCTTGGTTTCTTAAACAGTTCGTTTGGCGGATCTGTTTTTTCAATATGTGGTACATGAGGTATGACGTGTCACAGTATCGCACATTCGAAGTGTTGAGCGTAAATTAAGAGGGCTTGGATTGCTTCACTCACAATGCTGTTGCCGACTAAGACTTGAAGATGATGTAAGAACTGTGATGCTGGCCGATCATCCAGTCTCACCTCTTGGACAAGACTTCGAATGGTATGACTGTTCATTACGTCATATCTAATGAAGGATTACGACTGTGAGAAGGGGGAACTCTGAATCAAGTCTCACATTTCTTCAGCCAGGGGAGGAAGCTCAGTGCGAAAGTCCAGGCATTGAAATTTCTCAGATTTAGCATTGTGCTTAGAGAAGTAGTCCTCCCGTTAAGCAAGCCTCAACTCAGAGTTACAACAACCATTTCTGAGTGTTGGGATTTCGTAACTAATGTGGCATCTACTGCTACTGGTGAAAAGTTATGGTAATCTCAACGATTTCTGCAACTTTATCCTGAGCGATTATTTCCAGTTTTTACCGGTTGCTGTTTATCCCATTCCAGACTAAATGAGTTCTTTAGTCTTCCATGTTTCCCTCTCCCTTCAGGATTCCAAGTTAGCCCTTGCCTCGTGGTGCTGTTCGGTGATTTCCCCAATGTATATGCTATCCACCTCCTGCGTCTTTTCCTAATTTCCTCCTCAGTTGACAACTGGTTTGTTCTCGTTCACAGTAGGCTAGCAGACACTGCGTCTTGCGTGGACAATTGTTCATAAATACCTGTATATTTTTGATGATGGTTGTGATAGTTCTCCAAGTTTCAGTCCCGTACAACAGAACTGTCATGAAGTTTGCATTACAAGATTGTCTTGACGTTTATACTGAGGATTATGGTTTTACTGTTGGCTTGCAATCAGTTGTTTTGAGTTCCATATGCTCTTCAATTGTAAGAGTGCATCCCCTGTTTTGCCAATCCTCGCCTTTACGTTTGCATCATATCCTCCTTGTTCATCGGTGATGCTGCCCTGGAACGTAAAAGATTCCACCTTTTCCAGAGTTTTTCCATCAAGTGATATTGATTTCGTTGGTACTTGAGGATGTTGCTCCTCCCCTTGTGTATGTTGAGTCCCGCTGATACAGAGGCTGCTGCTAAACCGATTGTATTGACCTGCATTTGTTCGTGTGTTTGAGATAGAAGAGCTAGGTCATCTCTGGGGTCCAAATCGTCTAGTTGCATGCAAGCTGTCCATTGTATTCCATACTTCCCCTCAGATGTGAATGTCTTCAAAATCCAGTCAACCACCAGAAGAAAGATAAAGGCGAGAGTATGTAACCTTATCAGACACCTACCTTTACTTGGAATGCGTCTGTCAGCTATTCTCCATGCGCTACTTCGCACTGTAGTCCGTCGTGTGAATTCCATATGATGTTGACGGTTTTCTCAGGTGCGCCATAGTGTCGAAGGAGGCTTCATAATGTTCTCCTATTCAATCTGTCGAACGCCTTTTCATAGTCAAGGATGTTGGTGTATAGTGACGAATTTCATCCAGTCGACTGATAGCGAATATCTTAACGAACTAAAAACGGTGGTGAAACAATTCCAGCATTAAGAATATAAAGTAAAATATTTTGGGAAAGCCGCAATAGTGAACTTTGGGGAAATTGCACAAAAACCCCAAAATTTCCCCAAAATTTGGGGAAGGCTGTTTCACTTTGGGGATTTCCCCAAAATTGGGAGCTTAGGTTACACCAAGAGAATTAGTTCGCAGTAATTTGTGGAACGGCTAATCTGTTAATGGGTATATAAACAATTTTCATAACGATCAAGAACTTTTATTCACTTCTTGTTAAGTGGTGAAGTCAGAACGGTTTAGGATTGTGGTTGTACCGTTTATTACACAACACTGTTGCACATAAGGCTCACGCCGCGTCTTTTTTAAAACAGGAACATCTCATCACCCAATGGAGGTGAAAGGGAAGTTCAGTGCCTAAGTTAAATAATAAAGTACATAATTAACTTCTAACTATAATGTTTTCATTGAATGACTTTTAACCCTTTGATTGATACACATCTACGTAGTACAGCATGTTAGAGCTAGTACTATATATATATAGTACTAGGGAAGGTTACTAGAAGTGTTAGTCTTTCCCGAGATGACTTTGAAAACGCTTAGGCTGTACTTGAGTTCAATAACGAAGGTAATTGATAACAATTAGCAATAATACAGACCTGAGGTAAAACGATAAGTTAATCATCTTATCTTTCGTTAACGGAAACTTGGTGATGGGTTTACAACACAGAAATCTATAGGTTGTTATTGCCAACGCAACAATGGTTACACAGCCCTTCGACTTTCAAACGCTCAGTCACCTCCGCACAAGGGTCACGGGTAGAAGTAGTTCCCGAGGCTTAGATGAGAAGAGGCCTGAGTCTTTTATACTCTATGGGGTGATGCTTCTTTTACAGTGATATTTCAACTATGCTACTTCATTGTGATTGTCGCATATATGAATCTATACGTAACCATATTTTTATATATACTTCGGGAAATCCACGGTGACTATGAAAGACCTGCACGTACTGGAAGTGTTTGCCTTTGTACTTAGTTACTTCCTATCTTTTGTCTTAAAGTAATATGTAACTCCTTAGCTTTCAAATAGGACCTAGAAACAATACGCTGTATTTGATTACGTTGTGCCAGATGTACCCACCAGTCAGCAGATCTACACCTAAGTATGTTTGTGTCTAATTTTGTCAAGCCCTTCAATGAACTTGTTTAACAGACAATGTCATCCAAACAGCTACAATTTGTATATCTTTGTTTTATTATTATTACTATCATTATTTCTGTATTCTTGATCACGTGTTACAGCCTACTCACATCGCTCTTGCTACCTAAAATACTAGTTGCTTAGATCTCTCGATGAATCATTCGTCTTCCTATATATATGCGCTTGAACCTTAATAATTCATTCGACTCTTGATTCACTTCTGTATTTGCTTGCTCATTCGCGTCATCATTTCTGCTCGGATCCGCTTTGTGTGCTTGTGGCTCAGTGACTTGCTCTGTTCAATGACAGATTGTAGTCGATGCTTCGTATTGTCTCCTGAAATTTATACACCGTTGCGATTTATTCAAGAATGCATTCTTAATAACAATGGTTATCAGGAGAATTAATATATGAAGCTTTAGGAATTGTCGAAGATAATCCACTACAATTCTTACTATCTGGTGATACGTAGGCTTATCCAAATTACCATTGATTGGTAACCAACGTCTATGTAGAGTACTTATAAAGAATAGTGGGAACCTATATTCATTCTTGCTGTGGTTGATCAGTAAAAATATTCAGAAAGAGCATTTGCCTGGGAGCCTGTGTGAGTGTTACTAGTGGTTTGGCAAATGAGATCACACTTATTCCCGATATTATAAATAGTTCCTAGGTCCAAAGTCAACTAGTATTCACCAAAATTGATAACTTCGTTTTAGAATTTAATTTAATTTATACATTTTGTCCTCTGTTGGATGATTACGGAAGTTCATGTAGTGGGACTTTAGCTTAGTATCCCGATTATCAGCAAATGTCGGCATATCTCGATCCAATAATTCAAATATCACCACTTCTAGGGGAATATGGTTAGTACTAAACATATGTAAGTATGCTTAGTTTCCTAATACTAACTTAAAGTAAGTTTACATTTTGTATTAAGTACACTTTGATTGCCATTTCAAACCTGCACAAATTTACAAATGCTTTTTAACTCCAAACTGGGTCCATGTAAGTTGACTTAGTGCAATTGTCAGTAAAACATCGATTCGTAATAGTCAGGATAAGTTAATAACCGATAAAAATACCCTAGTCCAAGAACCTAGTCATCCTAACTGTTACTATCAAACAACTATTATTTGAAAGATGAAAATTACTACATGAATATCGTTCTGCTACATATTTATGGCATCCTCAAAGTCATTCAAAATGAGGTCATTCATACTAATTCATTACTTAAACTAATACCAGAAATTCATTGGAAACTTCACACTAACTTCTCCATTCACCTACTTTAGCAATCCCTAAGTAGGTTCTCAGAGCTGGTGTTTTCTAATATATTTGATTTTTGGTTTTAATTCAAACTTTTGTCCAAAGCAAATTAGTAAGTTTTCCGCTCCTATTTACACAGTATTCGGTACTAGTAACGTAACTGCTGAGTAATTCGTTTTTTACCTCTCTGATTAGAATGAGTAATGGTCATCCAATTTGTACTTGTGGTTTTAGACAGTTGAAGCTATTACGACTATCCTGTAAACAACTGTAAAGATGGGTAAACAAAAAACCAAAAATGATGAAGACATGAGTCATGAAGATTATCCTAATAACTTCACATTTGAAACAGAGAAATCACCTAAAACACCGAAAATAGGTGCACATAAGCACCATAATGAAGTTAAACCTGTCAATCACAATGACCACAACACATCTCCGTCATCTAATAAAATTAAACAAAAAGGTGAAGCAGTTATTGTAGAAGAGTCTATAAAAGATAAAAAGCTTAAACGAAAGAGCAGTTCTAATGCTCGGAGTGATAATGCTATACTTGATAGAACTAGGTTCAGGTCTGAAACGAGAAAGGATAGTGTATCAGAATTACCGTTAAAAAAGAGAAAGCATAATCCTACGTCTAGTGGTCAGAACCAATGCGATTTAAATAATGAAATTACATGCCATGGGGTTGATACTCTTAAGCTCAAAACAAATAACGAAGCTTCTTTGGAGCATAAAATACAGAACCACTGTTCTGCGTTGGATGTTCATCCTAAAAGCACCTCTAATGACCAGGAAGCATTGGAGAGATCTAAGGGAGTCGAACTCAAGAAAAGTGAGGCTCTAAATAAATCAAAAGAAAGAAAAAGAAGAAAGGACATTTCCTCGTTAGGAATTCAAAGTCAAAGTATTTCTTCTAACCAAACGGTATCTAACACATCTAATGAAAGCAAGTTACCAAACGGTATAACAGTATCGTATAACTCATCGAAACCCAAACGGTGCAAACAGAATGCTCCACACAAGGTTGAAAAAGGAAAATGGTATCATGAATCTCAACTTTCTAATGACGAAGAATATTTCACGAGTGATGAAAGTTCTATTGAAGTAGATAACTCACCAAGCAGAAGGTTAGTTATCCTATGTTACATGTCTATTACTTAAAATATTTTACCTATAATTTGGTTGCTTTAATAAGATGATTGAGAATTCCAGTTACATTTGTGTGCTCTGTGCGAATTTTCGAAAAAATGTATATAGCCCTGTGTTTTTTGTACTGAGTGAAACTCTCGGTTAGTGAACGCCGTGAATAGCTAATAGATTTAACTTAAGGCCTAATGTCCGAATTAACAAAACCAATGATATGGAGCATAGGATTTTTTTCAGTCATGATGTTGGACAACATAAAGTTTTGTCTCTCACAGTTTGAAGTGTATTAATATCAATTGTAATGAAAAATTTAGTTGTTGTAAATGAAACGCTAGAAAATACACTTTTATTGAAAATTTTATGTTTTTCTTTTTGTTCTTCTAAAGCCTTCAACGTCAGCGTAGACGACTGTCTAATGAACGTTTATCAAGAACCATATTTGTTGGCAATTTACCATTAAATATTACCAAAAAAAGAATGGAAGCTCTATTTAATAATGTGCTGAGAAATAACAAAATTTCATCTTCAGCTTGCTGTGTTGAATCTGTCAGATTTCGTGGTGTTATTCCAGTTACTGGTGGTACTAGTAGATTAGCACGAAAACGTGCAGCTATCACGGGTGAATCTTCAGGTATATGTACCTAACATATAGAATTTTCCTAGGTTTATAAATTATGTTTTTGACGTTGGATAAGCAGTTGAAGTTATCAACCTTCAAAAATCTATTTATAGGTAGCCAAGTAATATTACTAAAGTTCATTTGGTTCAAACCAAAACGTGGCATCAGTGCTTGAAGTCACTAATTTCTGTTCTTAGTCAATGTTAGTAGATGCAAACTACTTGGTTGGGGTCCACGTGACTATCGTAACCAATGATTAGAGACTCAGGGTTACGTGGCTCAGAATCGATTACAATGGCGTGGGCGTTCCATTAAACTATGAGATTAAAATTGCTTTATATCTTTCTATCAACTAATTTTTCCCCTGTACTATATGCTTATACATAATCTTTATTTTATGTATTACCACCATTGAATTAACTACTTTTTTGAATTTGGTGTTCATCTTGTGCTAATGAGGTGTGTCAACTTGGACTGATGTATATCTGTACCTAGTCCTACATTGTAGCCGACTGACTTTGGCTGAAGTCTGAGTACGCAAAGCAAACTACTTGGTAAATGAGTCCCACTACATTGAGTTAATTGCCGCACTTACCATATTGTTTTCAGACCTGGTCATGGGCGGTACAATGTTCTAGTAGTTGAGTTTGTCTATTGTGCTGATTTGAGATAATATTAGATGGAATATTTGTTCATTAACGTCCAGCTATTCTGATAAAGCCGGCTAGATATTGGGAGGTGGTCTAACAACGTGTTCTAGAGTCTCATATACAACTGTTCGCATAGTATTCTGATATTGCTATCATGGTTTTCAAAGAGTAAGCAGTATATATATATATATCAGTCAGTAACAACGTGGAACTTCGTACGTACGTCGTACATCAGTTCGGATTGCCATACCACATTAGCACAGAGATTCAGTTATCGATTCAAATCCCGTAGTGGTAGAGGTAGTGAAAGTATAAGTAGTGACAGGGAACATTAAGGTTTGATGATGTTATTTAAGGAGTATAGTCCAGTGGAATAGATTCGGAAAGAAAATAAAGGACATGGAGAATTCAGAAGATTAGAGTTTGAGAGAACACAGAGTGGATGCACCTGTGCCATTGCAAACGATTTTCAGCCATGTCATTCAAGGTCTCTAACCATCGGTTGCTATCATCTCGCGGTCCCCAACCAGGTAGTCTATACCTACCAACATGGCTCAGTCCACTTGTCAGTGACTTCATGGATTTGTGCTATATATATATATATATATATATATATATATATATATATCGGCTGCAAAAACTAGCTAAACCTTCGTTAATCATGCTAAACGAGCATAAGTTTACAGCAACAATGCGAATTAGATAAATTCGTTTCTTGTCTTTTTTAACTGCGTAAACCAGTTAATATATATTAGTTGTCATTAAAATAAGCAATATGCTCTTTGTTGTTTTCATTACTATAGAAGCTCCTTTATATATGACAACATAAAATCGTTCTGATAAGAACAATAACGCCATTTGAATCATTGTTTCAGATCTCAGCAGTTAAACTCCATAAATTCTAGTAATTAAAAGTATTTCGATTATATCTCCATCGAACAATTAGACGAGTATAATTCATACACTAGAAGAGAGATATTTGTGATGAGATGGTGGTTGGAGGTAATATACAGGAATCCCTAGATCACTATCTCATCACGCGATGTCGAGTCACCTAGACTTGTGACCACACTTCAACTTGGTTGATGGAATTCGATTTGCACTAAGAAGGAACTGATACACATGACATTGATCACTACCCAGTGATCAATCAATTGTGAAGAGATATTTATCCTTTATACAACGATGGCAAGTATATTATCTAATAACTTTTTCTTTTGTCACATAAAAAATATTCAGTTTATCTAGGATTTTGAATCACTCCAGTCAAAGAGGTTATAACTCTTAAAATAACAATTAAAAACTTTTACCCATTTATCAATCATAAATACTTAGATTATGCCAAAAATCATTGATGATAATCTAAAAATAATCTTGTGGTGATAATTTTGAAATGTATTTATTTAACGAAAAGATTATTTTAACTATATTCATGAATGTCATATATTTAATGTTAGTCGCTTGTAATTAGTGACTGATATACGGGGTAATAAAATACCACAAATAGCTGTTGTAAACGATATCAAGAAAAAGCACTAAATTCAATGTATTGAGTAACTCTTAAATTTTGAAAATTTATTTATTCTAAAAGCAAACACAATTATATAGTGAGTTAAATGAAATGTATACTTGTTATTGTTCACTTAAGAAATTTATATTAACCTCTTAGTAATCTTAATAATCAAAGTATTTTTTTTCTCACGTATATTAATGAAAATCAGGTGTTTCTAAATTTCGTATGGGTTATGTTGTTCTAACAACAAAGATCGGTATACCAATTGTACTTTCCTTAAATGGATGCTGTTTGAATTCAGATGGTTTTACTGTGAATCCGGAAGAATCAATTAATGTAATTGGTGATAAAACTGAATCTACCAATAATAGTAGTAGTAATAATAATACTAATGACGTATATCATATTCGAGTTGACAAAGTAACTGATAATAATGATAAAACACATTGTAAACCAGATAATTGTGTTTTTGTGGGCAATCTACCATTCGATTGTAATGAAGAAGAGGTTAGTTTACGTTTCTTTTTAAAGTATGAATTATCTAGGTAGTAAATTTATTAAGATTTCTTTGATGTTTATTTTTTTGAGATTTCTGATTTGTTTTCTGAGATTTGTCTAAAATAAATTAAACAAGAGTTTTTACATTCAATGATTGAGCATCATCATGTGTTTAAACGGTTCAATCGCAAATCAAGTTTTCTAACTTGATGTGTAAAATAATTTTTATCACGGAATAACGTCGATCAGAGATTTGGAGATCAAAAAGTAATGAAAAGTTATTTCACAGAGAAAAAAGTTCTCAACATCACTCACTCTCGTTTATTGTGAAGTCAAGTATAAAATAATTAGTTCCGACAAAATTAAGATCGAATTAAATCAGTAAAGTTGTTCATCGTTGAAAATATTATTGTGACCATACACTAAAAGCCTTGAAAGACATTTATAATATTACTCGTTTTCTACCCGCTCAAAAATCTGGACAACCTATTTTTCAACTGCAAATATCGTAATAAATATCTCTGTTTTAAATTTACTTAAAGTAATAAGTATGTATAATGTACTTCAGTGTTTTCATAAAAAATCCACGATTTTTCCCAATGCTTAATACCGAAAACTTCCATCATAAGCGCCATTCTAGTTAGTATATTTTTTTCCTTGCTCATCCTTTGAAAACTCAGAGACCTTCGCTTTATAATTCATACATCATATAATATGCTAGGAACATGTCGAACAATCTTACCGATGTAATTAGACTACAGCTAATCATTGTATATATTCACATGTTAAATGAAAATATGATAGGAATTTTGTTAAAATATTGCACATTTTCTATTGAGAATTATGTACTTTAACTAAATATATAGTGTTGATTAAAGTAAGGCATTACTGTTATTATGAGCGAAGTAGATCTTGAATCTTAAAATGAATAGATTTGTAAGAAGAGTATTGTGTGAAACCCACTGTACATGACCACAACTCAATCAGATAACATGAAATAGCCAACATTAGAGCTGATTTTGTAGAAACATTTCTATTATAACATGTAAATCCTTATAAACTCATCGTTCTTCCTTTGATGTGCTCTACATTTTTATTCCATAGATTTACAGCACTTTGTCTACATTAGGCTCAATAAAAAGTGTTCGTCTAATACGTGATTCTCAAACTGGTGCTGTACGTGGATTCGGTTATGTAGCATTCAACGACCCATCGATTATACCATTAGCTATACGTTCATCGAATACACTGAGTATACGTGGGAGACAAATAAGAATTCTAGAGTATAAAGTGAAGAAAATTAAAAATAAAGAAGGCTATCAACAGACTAAATTTCATCGTCATCGTCACGATAGAAATAATAAAATATTCAATACTGATCCGAAGAAAAAGGATAAACGAGAAAAAAAAGCGATGAAGAAGGAGAAAATGAAAGAACCACAACCAACCAAGTTAACTCATAGTAACACTGATGATGGCAGTAGTAAAAAGATGTCAGAAAATAATCAAGTGCTTTTCAAGAAAAAAATACAGAAAAAGAAGAAACAATTGAATAATATGAAGATACACAAAAAATAAACTGGTTAGAAACTGAGAAATTAATAATGTAAATGTGTATATGTATATTTTAAATATAATTTATATTATGTACATAATGTAATGATGAATATTGCATTAAATAAATAACTGATTGTAATTAGACTTCGTATTTCCTAGTATATTTGGATTTCGAATTCAGCATTCATTGTATATATATACGTGCAGTCGTATTCATGAAGAATTTCATTTTTAGACAAGATTGATATTTATTGCCCCGACCTGTTATCAATGGCTCTTTAGTCAATTTTAGCTTGTGGAGAAAATTGTATCCAAACTTACGATAAAATAATCACAATAGGATTTTTTACTGAATATCCTTCGATATGTTAAACTTGATTAATCTCACACCTCGAAGCATGCCATAAATCAACGATGAGTTAATCGACGCTGTAAGTGAACTGTTGAACTCTGATCGAAGTTACTACTTACTCTTCAGAATAATTCTTATGATAAGTTTAATAGATTTACTTTGAGTATCCATGTTTAAGTAAAATCAAAAGACGTGAATTTTATTATTTAAAACTTCGAGATCTCAAATATGTTCCATAAAAATGTCGAATCTTTAAAACAGGGTAAACGACCTATATTTGAATATTGCATAGGCTAATATCTTTAATGGTGACATTTTTCACCGTCATTACTACTGCTCCAGATATGGCTTTAATGTCTTATCGTGCATACAAAGAAAGGAAGAAAAAGTCATCGTAGTATTAAGTAATGCACAAATAAATCAATTTAGCCAAACTCAGTGGTGTGAACGTTCGACTTTCCAATCTAACCAACTTACAGTATTGTATGTTTCGATATCAAGGTTTAACTTGGAAATTTTCAAATAATTTGAGCTTTGTGTATAAAGTTAGTAACAAAATATTGTATCTGTGATATCGCAATCGATGGAAATTTAGATTTCTGACGTATTTATTTACCCTGAAGAAGTGTCTTACATCACGTCAATAAATCCAAATTCGTACATATTGGGAGACTACAAATATATCGCTATCTTATTGGTAGGAAGTGTGATTTTGATGGAGGTCACGTAACGAAATAACTGTTAACAGTAACTTCATATGATATTACCCGAATACTAGAAGTCCTTGGTATCCAACACCGTACTTTGTTTACAGGGAGATATATACCTGATAGTCTGATACTCTAGCTGGTAACTGGTTAAATGTGTGTAGTGTAGTATTGTGAGGTATTCTACAATCGAAGAACATATGCAACTCAAAACAACTGTCAGCCAATGTCAAAACCAGAATCTTCAATGCGAACGTTAAAAAAGTTCTACTGTATGGAGTTGAAACTTGAAGAACCACCACAACCATCATCAAAAATATACAGGTATTTATGAAGAATTGTCCACGCAAGACACAATGTCTGCTAGCTTACCGTGGGAGAGAACAAACCAGCTTTCAACTGAAGAGGAAATTAGGAAAAGACGCAGGAGGTGGATAGCATATACATTGGGGAAATCACCAAACAGCATCACGTGGCAAGGGCTAACTTGGAATCCTAAAGGGAGACGGAAGAGTGGAACAACTCACTTCACCGGGAATCGGAAGCAGATACCAAAAGGATGAAGAGCAACTGGAAAGGATTGTCCAGGACAAAGTTCGAAAGAGAATGTTGATGCCCGGCCTATGCTCCTCCACGAGGGGTAACAGGCATAAGTAATTAATTGTGAAGTACAGTGTAGTTTTTGAAATCATAAGTTATACTACCACTGAAAACTAGGAAGCATCGGACTGCTGTTTTGTCCTAGTGCGGGGCTCAACAGCACTGCGGGTCCCTATCCCTGGGATCAAAATTAGAACATTCTGTCTCATATGAACGCTTAACCACTGAGCCATCACCTAACAGTTTTAATGTCCAATCCCAATCAGTTCACGGTATCGCGCGACTCTTAATGTCTGCAGTGGGTAACTGTCTCACACCTGACATAGTCAAACTCCACTGGTCACGGCTTCTTACTAGAACTCCAAGAATTACGTCTTGAAGCTATTTATTTGTGAGCACATGATTATTTATCAGTATGCAGCTTTTTGGATGGTGAAACAGCTGTCCAGTGCTTCCTAGTTTCCAATAGTGGTCTAGCCAAGATCAATTCGTGATTTACAAGCGATGAAAATTCTATAATTTCTACAAAACCCTATACTTCAGTAGTGACCAGTTTCAAGACATAATTCCTAGAATTCTAGTAAAAAGCCGAAACCAGTGGAGTTTATATTGGGTGTGGGACCGTTATCCACTACGGATAATAGATGGTCTAGTAATATGGATTGGTTGAAATTAACACGATTTTTCCTTAGTCTGGTAAAACTTTTCTTCAAAGACTACGCGGACATAGATACTGAGTCTAGTGGGCCATATACACAGAGTTTTAACCGTAATACTGACAAATATCATTTAATAATGTCAATCAGTCATAAGCAATGTAGAACTTAGCATATACGTACATCGGTTCAATTTACCATACCCCATTAGCATGGCAAGAAATCGCCAGGGTGAATTTCGTAGTAGAGGTGGTAACAGTACTAGTAGTAATAGAAACGATAAGACATCGAGAAGAAAATACAGACTAGCGGAATCAAAGATTATAGCGATTTAAAAGCTTAGGATCTAAGGGAAGACGGTGAACGTTACTGCGCCAATGAAGACCATTTAGAGCCATGTCGCCCAAAGTCTCTTAACCATTGGTTACGATGACCGCGCAAACCCCAACCAGGTAATCAACACCTACCTACATGATTCAGACTGACAGTCATTGTTTTCATGGTCTGATGCAACGTTTACTCACACAATTGTCAGCGCTAACGGTGCTACTCTATGTGATGAGTTTACGTGCAAAATCTCTTTGATTCTGAAGCTTGTTCTCCGTCAACGTCGCATGCTTGAAGCATTCTTTGAAACCGTTGTGACTTTGAAGGTCTAATAAATCCATTTGAAGATCATGATTAACTACCTTAATACTAAGAAGACGTGGAGCACCCAGCTAATCAAACTTTCATCCTAATACTTAAAAATCCTCAAAACGTGAAGAACCTACTTGTGTGTTAGAATTTGATATTTATCTTCCTGAAATACCAGGAAGACTACTTTTGTGTTGAGAAACAAACGTATTTGAGTTCCTTAAACTGCCAAAATAGCACCATTAACTTTGATTCTAAACGTATTTACTTCAGAATAAAGTACACTCATCAAAACATTACTTTAAAATTTTCAATTCAGCTTATATTTCTAAAAAGTCTCGAAAATTGTCATTCGTCTGTCTATGTCTTAGCTGCATTTTGGACCCTGAAAATAACTATTGCTAATGTGACTGTAAAGAAACAATCCGTCTAGTAAAGAATTAGTAATTAAACACTATTCACCTTTCAGTTTAACCTGATTGATTAAAATTCGAGGATGTAGGGATGATTAAGATGTATACCAGATATTTACATCATTTTACGATTGACACAGTACACGTTGATGAATGGTTTTCACATGTTAATCTTACTAAATAATTAAAATGAATAGTGGAATATTCACTGATTAAATATTCTAGTTTTCTAAAAAGAATTTGACATGAACAAACCAGAAAAAGAAAACTCAGGTATCTTTTTTTCCAACGTATACATTAAATTTATCATACTATCTAAAAAATCTTATAAATGTATCAAAAACAGGAGATAAATTTGAACAGGAGACTTTTGATCAAAACGATGAAAGTGGTGGTAAACACGCGAGAGAGAAAGAGAAGAGAATGATCTTTTATACAGAGAGGCAATATTCATTGAAAAAAAACCTCCAGTGTAAGTATGCGTATAATATACAGTACGTTAAATATGAATTACAGCATTTTCAAATAAACGAAATTGCGAAACTGGTTGTTACCATTATTATTATTACTTTCTTTAATTAGTCTTCAGATGATGTTTCCATGCCTTCTGTGACTTCTTCTTCTTCAAGTGTTTCCCATGATGAATCATCATCACCATCATTTGCTCGACCCATGGCTTCGTTAGATTCTGCTTGAGAATCTATGAGAGCGTTTTCAGCATTTAGAATAGGATTTATATCATTATTGTTCGCAACTTCATCAACAGTAGCGGACTCTGTGATGTTCGAATTCGCCTCTGTGCGTCGACGGCGTGTACGTCGTCTTCTAACACGTTGTTGTTCATTTGAAGATGGGCTCCAATCACTTGAATCACTGGTACTTATATCATCTGAAGATTCATCAAGTATTTGGGCAAGTTCGTCAGAAGCATCTCCATTCAATAAATCATCATCATCGTCGTCATCCTCATCATCATCATCTTCATCATCCTCTTCATCTTCACGACCCTCTTCATCATCGTTGTCAGGTTCACGCTCCCCCTGAAAAAATAACGATTCAAATATTAGAAGTAATTTCTAAATGGTAGAGAATGTCACTAATCCAAGGAAGCGTTTGGATTGAAGTGTGGTAATATCATGAAACAATAAATTATTTAGTAATCTAAGATTACTCAATTTTTAGTCAAACTAATCCATCATAGTTCGTGATACATCTATGATTGTGCAGAATGAAATTATGCTATTAGAATTGTAGAGTTTAAATAGTGGAAAGTTGTCCTGAAAACCAGCATAATGATGAACTAACGTCTCAAATAGTATGAATACATGATTCTAAATAGTGAAGAGGTAGCTGAGTGGTTCAGCCACTTGGCTTTCATCAAGCAGCAGATCCCAGGACCGAATTGAAATTCACAGCCGGGTACATATACATCAATTAATTAAATTATTCTCAAAACAGGATTATAACGGGTGACACAAACACCCAAATAGGTAGCTTTAACCAAGAAGTAAGATTCCTGGATAAAGCTTTTCATATTGAAACTTAGCGTAAAGACAGTGGTTTATATGTGTGAAGTGCTAACTTTTAATACATAAAGAGACATTGCTTGACATGATGATATCTGGGACAGACTAAGTGCTGGACACGAAATACTCCACATATCCATATCAGTCACATCTGATATTCTTTTAAAAAGTAGTCAGGTTTTTAGTTTAACATCCACTTTCGTGAATATCACTTTATTTAAAGTGAAAAACGTGTAAATGAACATCAGTAATAATAATAATAATAATAATCAGGAACTTACGCGTTTACGACCAATCATGTAAATTCTACACTGAGTAATAGGCTCACTACTGTTATTTTCTCCTATTTTCTCAACTAGTGCCAACGA